GTCTCAATACCCGGTCAATTACTGAGCACATAAGAAAGCGTAATGAGTTTCTAGCTGAATACACTAGTCTCGATGACAGTCGTTTTGATTGGCTACAAAATGTATTCATTGCATACCTCGAGGACAGGTACAAGAGAGTCCAAGAACGACAGGGTGCATTTACAAGTGATGACAGAGGAAAGATGTTTATCTCGCATCAAACATAAAGAGGGATGAAGATAACTGTAAATTCACTAACTGAGGTTGTAAGGTTTCTGCTTTCAGAAGGTTGTGAATTTGTACTTTCTGAAAAATTTTGCCAGGACCCTTTGGAAGAGTATTTTGGACACCAGAGAGCAAGAGGCCGGTTTAGTGATAATCCAACACTGCAATCATTTGTCTACAATGACCTCACGATTGCAGCACAACGTGGTATAGCTCCTGTTGTCAGAGGAAATGTGTCTGGTCGACATGAAGGGAAAAGCTCAAAGTGGTATGCAATTTCTGAGGAACCCCTTCCAAAGCGAAAGAAAACAAAGGCAAATAAACCATAATTGCACACCCTTGGTAGTGATTGAGGTAGTGCATTCAGGTATTTATTTGTACTCTAATGTACACAAAATATTATTATCATCAAACTACAGGGTGTATCAAAAAAAACTCAACAGATTTAAAATTGCTCTCAATTTCGCAAAACAGCTATTTGTATCCGGTTTTTTATATATATAGCCTCTTTGGGTACTTATAATGTAGAATAATGAGAAAAATTTCTCGAACTCAAATTTTGTGAACCAGGGGGGTGTGTCTTTTCCAACAAACTAAAAATGGCTCGCGCACAAAATTTAAAAGCTGCAATCATATTTTGAGTTAACAGATGGAAAATTTGTCGGGATTTTAATTACTGTACAAAATTTCAGACAATTTGGTTTAGCTTAAGCCCCTTAACTATTCACGCAAAGTTGCAATTTTCCTGAAAAATCAGCTATTTGCATGCTTAATTAATGCATTTGCCTAATTTGCATATGTCAGCAATATGCAAATTAGGTAAAGGCATTAATTAAGCATGCGAAAGGCTGACTTTTTAGAACAAAATGAATAGTTAAAGGGCTTAAACAAAACCAAATTGTCTGAAATTTTGTACAGTAATTAAAAACCCGACATATTTTCAATCTATTAACTCAAAATATGATTACAGCTTTTAAATTTTGTGCGCGAGCCATTTTTAATTTGTTGGAAAAGACACCCCCCCTGGTTCACAAAATTTGAGTTCGAGAAATTTTTTTCATTATTTTACATTATAAGTACCCAAAGAAGCTATATATATATATATATATATATATATATATATATATATATATATATATATATATATATATATATATATATATATATATATATATATATATAGATGGCGTAATTGGAGTTTGGATTGTTAATTGTGTGGCGGATGTTGAAGGAAGTGTTATTTGGAAGTTAGTATTAGTCATAGTATCGTTATTAGTAGGACATTTACGTGTTGTTTTAAGTTGTAAGTAAATATTGGGAATTTCAACGTGTCGGTTAATTGTATTACCGTCTATACTGTACCGTGCCTCTTTAAATTCACGTGCGTGTTTTGTTTCTGTTAAAATTCAGTATTTGGTCAGTGTGCGTTTTCTTACGGTAGACCTGCGTGTTAATCGTGCCGTCATCAGTTCTTGTCAACAAAATGTCAAGGAAAGCAAGTTGGTTGTTATCTTCTTCTTCTTTCGTGAATTTTATATTTTCTGTAGTATTTTTTATAGTTTGTAAAATGTCGTCAGTCTTGTCTTTCTTAACTGTAGCAAGTACGTCGTCTACGTATCTGTTCCATGTTTTAATATCGTTATTGTTAGTAACGGATCTCTTTTCTAGGTCCTGCATGACTGCTTCAGCAAGGAAACTAGAAAGAGGAGATCCAAAAGGTGTACCCGAAATTTGTGTGTAGTAAGAGTTTTGGAATGAGAATTCAGTGGAAAGACACAGATCAAGTAATTCAAGAATGTCGTGTTTGTCTAGTTTGGTTCTGGTTTGCCACGAATCGTCGTAAGTAAGCCGTTCGTTTGTGATGCGTTTTGATGTGTCTAGTGGTATGGAGGTGAAAAGAGAAACGACGTCAAAAGATATCATGATTTCGTCTGGTTCAAGTTTAAGATCTTTAATATTAGTAAGGAAAGTACTAGCGTTGTTAATTGTATGAGGTGATGTTTTGACAAGTGGATGAAGGATCATAGCAAGATATTTTGATAACTCGTATGTAGGTGATCCTGGGAGGGAGACAATAGGTCGTAGAGAATGTTAATTTTCTTTATGTATTTTCGGTAGTCCGTAAAATTCAGCAGTGCATGCATGGATTCATCGTTTGGTCGAATTCTCTTGTAGTTGGTTTCTTCTAGTTTGTCTTAATTTATCTTTCAGTTGTTTTAGTTTCATGTTCATACGATTAACCGTCGTCTTCCTAGGGTCAGTGTCAAGTGGTTGATATGTTTCCGTGTCTTTCAGTAGGGTGTTTGCTTTATCGATATAATCAGTTTGTTCATGATTACGGTCATTCGTCCTTTGTCAGCTGGTAATATAATAATTTCGTCGTTGCTTTGTAGATCTTTGATTGCTTTCTGTTCTTCAGTGTCTAGTTTAACCGGTCGTTTATTATGCAGATTAGTGGTTATTTGGTGGCGAATATGTTCTTTGGTTTCATCAGTTAGTCCAGAGTTTTTAAGTGCAGATTCTAAGTCTGCGACGTAATCTAATTTGTCAGCGTCTTTGGTATTGTAATTTAAGCCCTTCGCTAAACTGCGAGTTTGTTGCTCCGTGAGTGGTCTATCTGAAATATTTTTAACCCAGGCGTCTGCGTTGCTATGGTATTGTTTGTAGGAGCTCGAGTTTTTAAATTTTTGTTCAAGTTGATTATGCCGTTTTGTTCCAGGGGCGGATCCAGGATTTTTCGTACGTTAGTCAAAGTTTTCGGATGTACAATCTAGCTTTGCGAGCGGCGAATGCACGGGGCACCTAGGGGGGTCTGTCCCCCAGGAATTTTTATATTTTTATACCTCAGAAATGCAATTTGCATCACTCTGAAAGCAGCTTCAACAAAAAATTAACTTCATGAAATGGGAGATAATTATAGCAACTATCAGTCTGACTGATTCTCACAACTCGCTCCTTTAATAGGGAAAAGTAAAGGGGAAGTACTTGCAGAAATGTGATAATTGTGGAAGATGTTTCATTTTATCAAATTACGGGTTGCTAGTATGTTTAACTATCTCATGATAGTGCTACACTCATTTTTGTTGCCTAATAGCCTTGTTGAGTCATTGATCACTTGAGTAATCACTACAGTGTCATATTACTCAAATTAACATATATCAATATTTTAAATCATCTATAAAACCTGACCTTTATATCCTATGTATACTGCATTAATGCACTTATATAGGTTATCCTCCATATTAATAGCCTTCTGAGTTCTGACGGTCCTTCAAACGCAGAATTACAAATATGCAATTTGTTGTGTAAATCAAAATTCGTAGCTAAATCTAAATCAAGATACGCGTATTCAAGTTTAATACAATTTTACATATGCATGGCGCGCATCTTGTTCGCTTATAAATATTGTTATTCTGTCTAAAACGAATTAAAATTTACATATCACATTAAATTTACCTTAATACACTTCAGAATAAAGATCTCGGCGCCAATACTTCTACTCAAACCGCCAAACTGTAGTTCGTACTATTCGTGGCGCTTAGCAACTGCTCACTGAATGGAACTCTCCGATATATTTAGTGTTGATTTTCCTCCCAAGATTAGCGCAACAGTCTTGTAAGACAGGTAAATCATTCATCGCAAATGCGGATTGAACTGTTTCGTGAATACTACAAGGACTGGAGTTTGGAGCAGCAGACATTTCCGAATTTTCCGTAGATATCTTTAAATTGAATCTTTCGACAAAGCTCCAACATGACACTTCGAATGAGCGCGCGCTCGGAAAGACTTTACCACCCGTCAAATATTAATGATATTCCAACTAATGGGGCGCCCCTGACTTTTGTAAATCGGTCAGAACTCCCCACAGATCAGTCAAAATCGCAAAAAATCGCTTGTTTCCATGGCAATAAGCGTCTAGACCAATCAGAACACTGGATTTTGACTTTTTGACTGACCAACTTTGCGTATGTCAGCGCTCATTGACTTGACTAAGCTCGTCGGCTCAACCACTGTATGAAATTTGATCACTGGACTACAGTTCGATTGGAATGTTAATTCCTAGCGCTGCATGATAGAAGATACTGGACTATTATAAGGGGTCGCTGCATGATAATAAATAACTGGACTATTGGTCGAATATTTAAGACTTTAATTAAGTTTGCGATTTTTACGTTAGTCGCGTGACGGCAGGTACAAAACGCAGGTTGCAGGTTGCAGGTTGCAGGTTGGAATTTTGCAGGTTGCGAATTTTGCAGGTTGGAATTTTGCAGGTTGGGGATTTTGCAGGTTGGAATTTTGCAGGTTGCCAGGAACTTTGCAGGTTGATAATGCAAACTTAAAATTACACCATTTTTTTAGTATTCTAGTATAATTTAGTTGTGCATTTATTGCAGTCTGACTCCTTGTCGGCGCCTCTGCTCTAAGGCTAGTGGCCATCACCCCCGTGAAAACATTCAAAATGACCAGATTGGCTTGGACCTACGGGGAGACGAATGCAGGGGCGTAGGAACCGGGGGGGCAGGAGGGGCCTGCCCCAAGTTTTGCCAAGTGCCTTTTTCCGGGAGCAAAGTGCCCTTTTTTTGCGTTAAAAATGTTTTAAGGATTGCCTTTTTTTGCCCCGCAAAGCGCACTTTTCGAAACTTGAATTTATGTTATTTTCCGGAATATTTTTTTCATTTTTTGGTATTTCGGGAAAATTTTTTTCATATTTAGGAAAGTTGGATGTATCCGGACAAATTTTTTTTGTATGTCCGGATATAATTTTTGAGACCTCATGTTTTCACAAGGGTGATGAGTGACTGAGGCTAGAATCATGGTAGCAGGATAGGCTGATATCAAAAGTGGCGACAAGGAGTCAGACTGCAATAAGTACACAATAAAATTATACTAGAATACTTTATAGTAGACGTAATTTTCAGTTTGCATCATCAACCTGCAAAATTCCTGTAAACCTGCAAAATTCCAACCTGCAAAATCCCCAACCTGCAAAATTCCAACCTGCAAAATTCCCAACCTGCAACCTGCAACCTGCGTTTTGTACCTGCCGGTCGCGTGACTGGTTTGACGACCCCTAGATCCGCCCCTGTTTTGTTCTATATGCGTTTGCCGTTTGTTTGATGGTGTTGTCTAGCGAATTTGCGTCTGTTCCAGTCGTTTTGCTTATAACAGTGTCACGGTATCCATGGAGTTTCAGTCTATATATATATATATATATATATATATATATATATATATATATATATATATATATATATATATATATATATATATATATATATATATATATTCGTTTTACCTCAAAAAACCACAACAGTCTGTTTCATCTGTATAGGAATCATTGCGACCAGCGAGCGAGCTGGGAGCATCCTAATCTGTGCGTAGAAAATTTAAATATACCGCTGAGTTCGGATTAGACCCGGCTCAAGATTCACCGATTCACCTCGGCTTGCATTCCATATTTGGAACATATTTCCATATTTGGAAGACCGCATGAAACGGTATTTCCGCCGCTGTTATGCCGCCCAGTGTTTTATTTACTCATCGATACTGATGCAATTTTATACATGTACCTTTAACTTTTGTTCATCAAATTGTACATCAAATGAAGCTTAACTTAGCATCTACTAACTGTTGTAAGTCTGTTATTGAAGACAGATTTAAATAATCAAAAAGATTAAATGCTGTGCATGAGGATGTTGTGATGTATACAAAGAAACGTCTGTTGTTTGAAAGTCATGTGCCGGGCTTTAATATTTATCTTTAAATTGCGCTTTGTCAATCGGTATTGTTATTGACACGTCATGCTATTCATAGAAGGCGACTTTGCGCCGTAGCGACAATATAATCACAAATTATTACTATTTGTTATGTAATTTGTAGCAAGTGACGTAATTGGATACCAATCAGTCAAGTTAATATTTTGATAAATTTATCTAAATTGGATATTCAGTGTAAATGGGCCGACTTTTATTATATAATGAGCGATATTGGCCCATATATTATTGCCACTCCTTTGCATAAACTTGAAAAGTTGTTACTGTTTTTTATTTTGAATATATCAATAGACAATATGAAATAAAGTACCTTGTCATGTGCATGTTTATTTGACGCAAATCGTTATATAAAAAATAAAAAACCCCGACCGACCGACCGACTTTTGGCAAAAGTAAAGGCTGATCACCAACTATCTGGCCAAAACAGCGTGAGCCGGCGCGTTGTCATTAGTGACTAAAGTCTCCAGGTCGCACTTTTTAACCTGTGGTTACGCCTAGTTATTATTTCTTACTTTCGCAGCTCAAAGACTCTGTTGCCTTGGCAGAATTCTTTTTGTATGCGGAAGAGCAGGTGAACGTTCTTGTACTGATTCTGTAGTTTCTCAATATTATGACCATTGTTGCCAGCATCATCATCACCACCATCGCCATTATCACCATCTGATCATCATAATCACCATCATTACCACCATCACCACCATCATAATCATCACCACTATCACCATCATAACCTCCACCATCATCACCATTATAATCATCACCATCATAACCTCCACCATCATAACCATT